ATGAATAAATTAAATTTAATTATGTAATAATTAATAGCATTTAAATAACTTTAAGAAATCAGCTAATTAAATAAAAATATATAAATACAGTAGAGTTCGGCTATAACGACTTATAGCGTCGGTACGTCATCGATACCGTATAGATACCGTTTTACACATATGTAAGTTACTTTATATCAATTAGAGTCCTCTCATATCTTGACTCAAAAAGATTTAGGTCTGTCATCTCTTACAGCAGCAAACACTGAGCATGAGCATATGCTAGTATAGTATTTAACACTGCTTTGTTCACTTTATGCCATTGTCCAACACTGGCTGCTCTTACCAGCACCAGGCCAAAGCCAGGCACTTTCGCCAATTGCTGGCAGAGTATTGCAATAATTAGCAACATTTGGCTACCGACAACGATCATGTTTAATTGACCATGCCCACTGACATAGACAGAGACAGAGTGAGAGGGAGGCAGAGCGAGCGAGTCAGAGAGAGTGAGGGCTCATCCATGGTGCCGGTTTTATGTCATTTGTCTTTAATGAACGGTTACCCGACCCCCCTGCGGGCATTGTTATTGCTGCTGTTGCTGTTGCTGATGTTCTCGGCCGTTGCATTTATTGTCCTACCAAGCGTCGCCTTTGTTTTAAGCCAACAACATTAACATTCGCAACCAATTTGTCGAGAGACTCAGAGAGTGAGAGTGAGGGAGAGAGAAGCACGCGTGTTGCTTGCCAAGAAGCGTGCAGCGGTAACAACTTCTGTTTTTTGAGTTTTTTTTTTTTCGGCTGCTTAGGGTGACTGAGTGCTCAGTTTTGGCCAAGTTATAGCGACTGCTGTATGCGCTGCCGCACTGCCAGCGCGATACAGCCACAGAATCAATATGCTCGACGGCGGCGCTACAGCTGCTCAGGTGTCCTTAGCTAAACTCGAAGGCTTGCCTGGCCACTTCGCCTGCAGCACGCAGTCGAGGCACGCAATCCAGCCATGGCCATAACAGAGGCAGTTGCCGTTGCCGTTGCTGTTGCCGTTGCAGTTGCAGTTAGCCGTTTGCTGTTCTTGGCCAACTGACTGCCAGCTAGTCGCTGTCAGCTTTTGGCCTAATAAATGCACTAATTGCGGTTAAATGCACTTTGCATGCAATTATTATCATTAGGGGTTGCAATCCCCCTACCCCCTCCCCCACAGCCCAAGCCAATTGCTAATTGCCGCTGTTCAATAATTTAATTGCCATTCGCTCTCCCTCTCTCCCTCTCTCTCTCTCTCTGTCGTACACTCTTTTGACTAGTTATTTACTTATTATTATTTTTATTTAGACAAAAAAATTGTTGTTACATTTACATTACAAATACAACGACCACGTTTATTCTAATAATAATATTTAAAAAAAAATATGATTTAAAAAAAAAAATGCAACTTTATTGAAAGTTTTTTTTTTCGTTTTGTTTTTTTGTTTTTTAAGTTACGTAATACATCTTGTGGCTAGCTTAAATATGCACATTGTTCTTGTTGCAGTTGTCACTAATTGTTAGTTTATTAAATTTAATTGTTTGGCTGCTAATTTTTACAACATTTAAATAAATATTTGATGCATTCGCTTCGCTTAAGCCTAATCTCGAAAAAAAAAAAAAAAATTGGTTAAGTATTTGTATTTAATAAATTACTAAAAGCAAACAAATAAGTTAGGCCACTCACACACGCACGCACACATATATACACTCACTCACACACACGCACTCTCTCTCTCTCACACACACACCTTTTGCCATTTTGTGTTTTGGAAACAAATTCTATTTTGTTGCTGCTGCTGCCTCTTCTTCTGCTTCTTCCTGTTCCCTCTTTGGCCAGTTCACACCTGAAGCTGATCCTCGTCGTCGGACTGCGCCTGGGAGCTGTCCACGGAGCGGCCCGGCGGACTGCCCGGATTGAGCGTCGGACTAGGCGTAGAGGGCGGATGCACAGGCGACGCAGCCAGCGCCTGCGACTGCGACTGCGGCGATGGGGTCAGCGCCTGCGGCTTGTGTATGATAGCCATGCCAGCGGCTGGGGCGGTGACCAGTGGCGCTGCCACTGCACCACCACCACCCGCAGCAGCAGCGCCACCACCGGCGACGGCAGCGGCCGCAGCTCCGTTGGCCGCCGCAGCAGCGGCCGCCGCGCTCTGGTAGTAGCTGCTCAGCGAGGACAGCGAGCTGGAGGCGGACAGGTGCGAGAAGGGGGCGCTGGGCACGCCCGCGTACAGGTTGTAGGGCAGCGGCTTCTGCATGGCCGCCGCGGCGGCCGCCTGCCGATAGTAGATGTCGATGCTGGAGTGCGGCGGGGCTCCATGCGCGGCAGCTGCGGCGCCGGCACCGGCTGCCGCCGCGTACGGCCAGGCGCCCAAGTAGGGCGAGCCGCCGTAGAGCCGCTGGAAGGCCGCGAAGTTGCCCGCCTCGGCGAGCAGCTCCAGACCCACGGCCGTCTGTCGCTTCCACTTGGTTCTGCGGCGCACAGAGAGCAAAGCAAAAGCAATGGGAGAGAGTTAGTTGAGGCAAATTGAACGAGGGAATGGGACTGGGACTGGGGACTGAGACGGTGTTGGTAACCCACCTACGGTTCTGATACCAGGTCTTCACCTGGCAATCGCTTAGGTCCAGCTTGTGCGCCAGCTCCTGTCGCTCCTGGACACTGAGATACTTCTGCCGCTCGAACGACTTCTCCAGCGTCTGCAGCTGATGGTCGGTAAAGGCGGTGCGCGCCTTGCGCTGCTTCTTGCTCAGGCCGCTCATGTCGCTGGTGGAGCCGCTCTTGATGCTGTTGCCGTCATCGTCCTTGCCACCTGAAAGCACACAGAGCGCGATGAGTTCGTTTACCAAAGAGCCTTCTACTTAAAGCTAACTGTAACCTGACTAGACATCGTCCAGAGTTCAAGAGCGCTAAAGGCCACGCAATCGCCTCTACCGGCCAAGTCTGGCTCAACACCCTACTGCCGCTCTCTCTTTCTCTCTCTATCTCTCTCTCTCTTTCTCTGTGTGTGTAATAAAAATGTGTAGCAAAATGTCTAAACTTGGCCCAGTCCTCATACCAGTTCCCGTTCCCGTTCCCGTTCCCGTTCCCGTTTTCGTTCCCGTGGCCATTTCCGTTTGGCGGCCCATTGGCCAACCCTTCTGGCTTTCAGCCTAGCTGCGCTGCTCGTTTGCCATTTAGTACATAAAATTTATGTAAATTTATCTGATTGCGGTTAGTCGATAAGCGAGTCGGCCCAGGTCTGGGCCACGGCCACTTGCCACTTGCCACTAGTCGCCTGTCGCTTGCCGCTTGCCGCTTTCCTGGCGTTAAATTAGTTAAAGCGAAAATTTGCCAAGTGCGCATTTAAGCCGAAGCCAACTTAATATTCTGATCTGTTGTGAGAGTTGTTTGCTCAGCGCAGCTAGCAAAATTCTTAACATGGTTGACTCTCTCCCTGTCTCTGTCTGTCTCTGTCTCTGTCTCTGTCTGTGTCTCAGCTGCTGCTGCTTGAGGCGTTGCAATTACCCAGCTTAAACAGAGCTGCGATCGAGTCGAATTAAAAGCAGCGCAGCAGCAGCAGCAGCAGCAGGCAGATGCTGCTTCCTCCGGGCAAGCACCGTCTTCTCTGTCCCATTTGTGGCTGTTGTTGTTGCTTTATAGCAAGAAGCAACGTCAGGCCTGGCTGGCCGTTGGGCCAACAAGACGCGACTACCGTTTATAAAATTACAATTGCACACAGGAAATTGCAGTAATAAATGGTCGAGGAGAGTGCAGATTCATTTGCCAAAGAGACACACGCACAACACACGCACACACACGCACACACGCACACACGCACACAAACACACATATATAGAGCACATTCAATACATACAGCTTGCTCTGGGGCATCTATCAAACGATATTAAATTCCATTTTTATAACATTTACCACAATTAGTATGAGTGAGAGGGAGAGAGAGATAAATAGGGAGAGTGAGAGGAGCGACGAGCCAGAGAGACAACGTTTTGCTTCTAACTATATATAATTAGTCTGACGTTGGGCTCTTAAAACAAAAGCATAAAATTTAGTCTTGCAAACTGCGTTTTGCTCCACTCCAACTGGATGTTTGGCCGCCTCCCCCCTCCAGCTGCAGCACCAACTCCCGCTGGCGAGCCACGCCCCCATTTCTTGTTGCTGCTCGCGCTGCAGTTTAAGCAGACAAATGCACACAATTCGCAATGGAATGGCGGACTAGGGGCAACGGGCGGCGGGTGGCGGGTGGCGGATGGCAGGCGGGTGGCTGAGCGCAAACAAAGCGTGAAAATGCAATTTTTCAGAAGTATCCAAAAGGCCGCACTCCCCCGCCGCCGCCATGCCCACTAGAATCTGTGCATGTTGTTGCATGCAATTTTTACAGTTTGTTTTGCAAAGCGGCTGCACACACAAACACACACACGCACACACACACAGTAACATAGATAACAAAAGACTCTGGCAACGAACTTGGCATGACATTCACTTAGTCAGCCGGACAGACAGAGAGATCCGCACTACGATTGGCTATCGCGCTCAGACCGACGATTGTCATGAAATGCCATTGAATTAGGGAGCCAATGGGGTATATTAAAAGTCAAAAATAGATTGTGCAGTCACATATATAAAAGACATATATAGAAACACATATATGCTGATATTTAGATATCAGAATCTTCGAATTGCCAATTATTGTGATTAATGATGATTATATATTTATAGAATATTTACAGCTATATATACATATATAGATATTTACTATATATATATGTAGTCTATACAGATTCACTGCGTATATATTTCACGTCTTGATCACTCTGTAATTCGCTGTCTGATTGGAAATCGATGCCAGATGCATTGACTCGCTCGTCATTGAATTAAGGCTATTCAAATTAAATATATTTAGAGAATATAATTTGTATTTAATAATGAGTTGATGATTATTGAAATTGTCATCATCATCATGATTATCATTCGACAAATGGTTATCAGCTCATTATTATGTAGACCTTGTGCATAGATAACATGCATGGCCATTCAAGGCTTCACTTCAGATCGGATCGGATCGGATCACTCTGACTACTCTTAGCAAAGAGCGAATTATTGATAAGTAAGGATAGCCCAAAATCATCTTTCTCTCTCTTACGGGCTATCTCCTTCATGCATTCATATCTGCTCTAATCGTAGCTTCTGCTTTAACTCTAACGGATTTCCACTCATTAGCCGAACTCTATGTAGTCTTGCCACCTCGCGCTTCCCACCCACGCCTCCACGCCTCCTGCCCGCTCCCGCCCAAAATAATATAGAAGCTCACCTCACCATTACTACAAACGCTGTGATCGTCCATGTGGCCGCCGCCGCCGCTGCCCGCCTCGTCGCTGTCGCAGTCCTCGTTCTCCTCGTGGTAGTCGCTGCTGTCGTCGAGCTCTGCCGACGGCGGCTGCGGCGGCGCCTCGCCGGTACCGGCGGCCGCCGCGGCTGCTGCTGCTGCCGCCACTGCCGCATTGTTGCGCGCCGCTGCTGCAGCGGCGGCGGCTGCATAATGCTGTTGCATGGCCGCTGCATACTGCGCCACGTTCAGCCCGTTGGCGCCCATCTGGGCGCTGGGCGCGAAGTGGGTCAGCTTGGCGTGCGGCAGTGCATGCGGATGCGGATGCGTAAGCGGATGCTGCTGCTGCTGATGATGATGATGGTGATGCTGGGCGTGCACGGCGGCCAGGGCGTGTGGATGCGGCTGATGGGGAAGCTGGTGCGGCGGCGGCGGCGGTGGCAGGCCCAGGACGGAGCCGGGCGGCGTTGCTGGTCCAGACTCTGATTCCAAATGCTCATTATTATTGTTGTTGTTGTTGTTGTTGTTATTATTAATGTTATTGTTATTATTATTATTGGTATTGTTGTTGTTGTTGTTGTTGTTGTGCTGCTGCTGCTTGTAGAAGGCGGCGGCGCTGGCAGCAGCCGCACTGCCCGCCAGAATGTCGTTGATCATGAAGCGGGATCGATTCGGCTTCAGATTGGACGAGGTGGACATGGACATGTTGACCGCCGGCGGATGCAACGGATAGTGATGGTGCAGATGATGGTGGTGCGAATGCGAATGCGAATGCGAAAGCGAATGCGAATGCGAATGTGGCGACGGCTCGCTGGGCGCTGTAGTCGTGGGCAGCGTCTGGGTTAATATGCTCATTGAGTCTTTCATTGCCAACGGCGGCCGCACGGATTCCAATTGGACTCTAGCACATGCACACACTCACACACACACACACACTGCTCTCTCTGTCACTGTTTGTTGCTCTCTTGCTCTCTCTCTCTCTCTCTCTCTCTCTCTATCTTTCGGTTTTCACACACACTCGAATGCACAGTCAACAGTAAAAAAAAGTAAGTATATTTCGAAACGCTGTCTTTTGCACTTTAACTTGATCTTCGATTTGTGGCTCAGTGGGAAGCTCGACTTCGACGTGGACGTGAACCGTCGCCTCCGCTCTGGACGTCGTCGCGCTGTGGCTGCCAAAACGAGACTAAACGCACCTGCAGCGCCGCGGCCGCACAAAAACCCAGTCGAGTCGAGTCGAGGCAGCGGCAACAATTTTGCCACTTTGTCATAGGTGGTGGCGAGCGGTTGCTTTGGTGGTGGCTCTCGGTGGCTGCCCCAGCCGCATGGGTGCGAGCGAGCGCGCTGCGGCGCCGCAACTCTGCGCTGCTCGGCTCTGCTCGCTCGTGCTCACCCGCCCGTTGGCCTGTTGCTGTCTGGCTCGTCTCGCATGCCGTCTCGCTCGTGCGCAGCGCCATGTTCTTGGCCAGTGAACTCACCACCATGCGCTCAGCCGTGGTGAGTTTCGCAGCCAGTTTTTATGGCAACTCTGTTCAGCTCTCAGCTCTGAGCTCTCAGCTCTCAGCACAGCCCAAAGCGAGCCATAAAGCGAGTGCGAATGTCGGTCAAACGCGGCCGAGGCGGGCATGGCCAAAGGACGCAGCTCGTCCAGTGGGCCGCTCCCACTGCACTGCCCCGCTGCGCCGAGGGGGCCGACAAAATGGCGCGCCTGTGGCGTCACCTCAGATGCCACGGACCATTAGAAAAGGGATCGCATTCTAATAGCTTTTCAGCTTCGTCTGTTGAGCCAAAGACGCAATTCGAAGGGAGCGAGAGGTTCTTGGGGAAGGGCTTATGCTTGGCTGGAAATGTTAAATATCAAATGAGCTTCTTCATATAAACACAATTTTACTTTATTGCTTATTTATAATAGTCCCATTCAAAGTTTCAATCGACATATAAATATTTGAATTTTCTTGCTTCATTATGTAGATTACAAATTTAGGGGAAAATAATTTATAATATGTACATAAAATTGATGTACAGACTCTCCATTTCCTAATAATAATAAAAAATAAATGTGTGAGTACTTTGGCTGTACTTTTAATTCTTATTTTACATGCTTTTCAGAATTTGATTTAAATTTAATGAATTCAAATTTGTTAAACTCTAAATAATTATACAAATATTTTTAATTTTTACTTTACAAGCTTTATAGAAATTACTTCAGTTAAGTTAAAATCTAACTAATATA